TCGTATTCGCGAGCTAGGAAAATATGTAACGCGCAAAAGGCGCCACGTTCTCATTATACATGCACGCGATTGCGTAGCATCTTTGACTCGCACGGATAATTTCTTCTGCTCACTTGCGATCGCGCCCTCGTTGCACGCAGGTGATGTTGCGAAACGATCGCCAGGTGTCATGAAGAATTTTAATTTATGCAGGGTATTTCATTAGATGTTCTTTTGTAGTCTTTACGATTACGTGGGAAACAATTTCTTGTTAACGAAAATGTTGAAAGTATTATTTGTTGCATTCTTTGTTGTATGAAACGAAAATAATGTCTATTATGTTATATGAAAAACTATGAATATATCTTGATATTTTTAGAAAAAAAAAAGATTAGTTTCGTGTTTGCAAATCTATAGTTACAGAAACATTCGGTTGACACAAGATTTGAGATCACATGTCAGAAAAGTGGCTTTGCGTTTTCACTTCTTGATCAATTTTTACTAAGTGGAACGCAAAGACATTTAGAAATGAATTTAAACGCATCGTGCCTCTTTCTCGATGAAAAACGCCCACGGAGCTACTTGTGAGTTGCTCCACTGCCAAAAGACGACGTATATCAGATAATTTGTATGGAAAAGAACATTAGGCAATTTAACGGTATCAACGGACAGTCTTATATTCCTCCTTTCAGATTTCTACCACGTGGGCGAACCAATTGGACTAGCCAGTAAGGTGGCCCATCATCGCCTCGAGAAATCTCTTTCTCGTTTTCTCTTCTTCAAATGCCTCCGCGAGGACTGCACTAGTCTTCACTTTTAGCTGAATCACATTACTTCTCGTTCATATTTCGAAAGCGAACAACGCGTATGCTTCGTCAAAGACTCTCGCAGGTGTCGGAGCTCTCACATTATGCAGCAAGATGCGAGCTGCGTATTTTGTAATTATTTATTGCCTACTACGGGTGCAACGACAGTGATTGACGACCCTATAAAAGCAACGATGTTAACGATGCTGATTACTGGGAGATGAATTTCGAAGCGGAGTAAGTTTGGGATAAGCCGGGAAAGTCATTATCGCCGGGCACTCGTGTACCAAGCGCTCGGTCAAACTGCGATTTCGTTTCTTCCTCAACCCCGTTAAGTGCGGATAATCAATTCGCTCCTGATTGTACTGTCGATTTTACCATTACGGTGGTGGTCCACGAGCTTACATCTACATACGATATAAAGATAAAAAACAGATATAAGCAATCGGTATATGTATTTCTCCGAGATACACGAATGCGACCTTCACATTTCGTGCTTGTACTATCTGGAAAATATCTTTCGGATTCGCTACGATCTCGTCATGGACAACCGAATGAAACTCGTTCTCGGTGTCTACGGTAAGTAATACTCAGCACCAAAATTGTCACCCACGCGTGGCAGCAAGTTTCGTCAGCATCGTCGGAGCGTACTTCCGCTCGCGCGTCGTTTGAGAATCAGGTGGCTGTTCCCAGACGTATCTAGGTCGTATTACGCAAGGCGTACAGCTGGCATTTGCACTGTTGATGATTGTACGCAGACCGGCACAAAACTCAATGTACAAACGTTAGGTTTTAAATAGCAAACAAAGCTGGCCAGTCAGAGCTGCTGTACGGCCCATTGTATCGGGATTCTCTCTGCGTGGACGACGCGTTGATATTTTATGCGACTGTCATCTCCAGCTTCGATTCTGCGGAGGCGTATATTATATCCCGTATAGGTTAAACCACCCCGCCTACTTGCCCGGTGTGTCCCAATACCTGTGGCAGTGATATGTCAACAACTACTTTCAACTCCGCGTTCCGTCAGCTCGCGCATTTTATCCAGCGCGTTCGTGAAATAGCATTTAAATCCCGACGATTGGACCGCGCGCGCTCGCCAACGATACATTGTTTTCACGGCGTAGCAACAATGACATTTTCAATAAGCTCATTCCCAGAACGCCGCGATCAAATAATAATCTATTGATGAAAATTACGTTAAAGAAATACATTAAGGGGGCATATACACCTAGAAGACCAAAAAAACGTTAATTTTCTGGAATTTTTTTCTGGGAAACTGTTGAAGTTATCGGATTGTCGTTTCTTGTAGTTGAAAATGTACATTTTAAAGAAACTTCGTGATTTTTTTTATTAAAGAATCTCGCAAAATGTCGGAGATATGGCGTCGTGAAAGGCAGCCCGGAAAAAATCACCCAAAACGGTACCAGATGTATCTTCGCCAAAAATTAACTAAAACAAAAAAATAGCGCGGAATATTAAAATATATAATAATAGTTTTGGCGTATCGTAGCCGATTTCAAAAATATCGATTTTTGACAAAATGGCGGGCGTTTAAATTTGACGTAGCGATTTTTAAGACAAAATCCGTTCGTTTCCTCGCCAGAAAAAAAACTATGAGTCCTAAAAAAAAAACCCCCTACGATACGCGATAGATAATTATGTGTTGAATAACCCCTATAAATTTCAAGCAAATCGATTCAGTGGTTCTCGAGATATTTCTGGTACCAGTTTGAAAAATGTCGTTTCGAGAAAAACGCGTTTGAATATTCAACATATGTTTTGGTTAAGGGGGCATATACACCTAGAAGGCCAAAAAAACGTTCATTTTCTGGAATTTTTTTCTGGGAAACATACATACATACATACATACATACATCTGGGAAATTTAGGAAAGACGTTAAAAAAAAAGTTGCCTAAAAATAGATATCAAGCCATTGTACTGTCAGGGCTGTAACTTCGTCATTTTTCGAAATTATGACTTGAAATTTGCACCAGACATTCTCGAAACATTAAACTTTATGAATATGTAAAAATCAAAAAATCGATTTTTTTGACCCTCCTAGGTGTAGGTATATGCCCCCTTAAGAACAGAAGGGGGTGTCTCGAAGAGGAAAAGCATTGTGAGATCAAATTGAACAATAGTTTTCATAACTGCATACTGCAAACGTTCCTATTGTCACTTTTATCTGCGATATGTAATTCTTCTTTAAAATTGTTCAAAATTATCATTCTTCTATTTCAGATCAATTGTGAAATGTTTAATTTAGTGTGATTTGATTTTTGATAAGACAAATGTTTCATATTTTTCACTTAAAATGGATTTTACTACGGCCGATTGTCTTGCAGAATGATAATAATTTAAATGTTTGAGAGCGTGCGTGTTAAAAAGAGAGTTGTATAAAATGTCCTGGGAAAGTGCCAAATATCCCCGTATCAATTTTTCGCCCCGCTATCTCATTAATTAAGTCCGCGCATTTTCAAGTACACGCCCGAATTCCAGGCTCCTTCGAGTACAGTTCCTTCGAGTCGCGTTAAATCCCATCGGGATGTATATGGCAATGATCCGACGGTCGAAATGCGCTTGCCATTTTGTGCAACGCAGAGGCGTAATAAATTACGTACATTACGAGATGGACGGGGTGCACAGGGGAGACCTCGGGCACCGGGCATCATCCGGCGTGCCACTGTGGGAAACCTGAAGCCTCCTCCGGCAACAGAAAGGAGCCTTCAAGGCTCATTAACCGAGAGATAACGCGTTATGCCAGATTACGATGTTTCTTCGTTAGCTCACTTATCGGCCTGGTGCCATTGGCCGCGTGAATGTTCGTGCATCGGTCCCGCCGCCGGCTGTTATTCGGTGTACACGTGCGATAAGCGATTCGGTGCTCCTTGCTTTATATCGCGAAATATTTCGGAGACAATTTCATTTGGACTTGTACTCGCACCGGTTAATAAAGCTATTTATTTCAAATTCTATCAGTAAAACGGAGAACAATATACGCGGAAGAATGCTGTAAAATACCGCTAAGATTATATCACGGTTACAATGTTGATTCACGGAAAGAAGTCGTCGCCGCAGTATTTAAAAATTTAGCGAGATAAAAATCGGGAAAATAATTTTATTGCGTCATCAAAATAATTATGGTAGGACACTGAGACTAATTGTTGGTCAGAAATTTTTGCATTATTATCATACTTGAGCATCCTACTATAATTATAATTCGATGACGCAATTGTTTTCAGATCTTTACATAATTAAATTTTTAGACGTATGCATTAGCAAAACTGTTCGTTCCTTGTATGAAATCATATATGTATGTATAATTCACCGAGGAAAAGATTGTTGATATCTCAGATATATAATGTCATTTGTCTAATAATACTTAATAGATCCGATACCATTTACGGCATGTATTAGCTTGAAGCAAAATTTAATTTAGAGTCCACCAGTGGAGGAAAGGCATCACTTCGTTAGACGAAAGTTGTCCTCAAATAAAGTTTGTGTGTTTAATTTTTTTAATGGACTAATCCACACAATTAGTTATCTAAAACCACATCTTGAGTTTATTAACTAAGTGGAAAAATGATTTTCTGAAATGGTAAGAGAGCGTTTAATGGCTATTGAAAGAAGTTTCTTCGGTTATTCGTTTGGCGAGTAGTCGGGACGAGGAACGGAGGATAAAAAGAGGAGACCCCGAGTACGAGAAGTGGCTTGTGCGCGGCTCGATTCCTCGTTGGTGGTTCGCGGGGTTAAATATACCCTCGTTGGTCTCATCATACAGAGAGAGGGAAGAAAGAGGAGGAACGGGAAAGAGAGAATCGAGCGGGCAAGATAAAGACGGTCGGCTTGCGCATGCATACACACATTTATATGTCAAAGTGAGAAGGGGAGGGAATACGAAAGAGGGAGAAGAAGATGAAGAAGAAGAAGTAGAAGAAGGGAAGGAAGAAGAAGAGAGAAACTGAGAGGGGCGAGAGAGAGAGGGAAGAAGTCGGGCTCTGCTATTACAGAGCACCTCCGTGGCGCACAGCCCAATATGGAGCAATCTCAGATTTCCATCCGCCCAAATCGAGAATATACGCCCGCGCCTCCGCTCGCTTTTCTTGGCCTGCGGAGGGTTGGTCGTTGTCGCGGTTGTCGTCTTCGTCGTCGTCGCCGCTGACGTTTCTCCCCTCGTCCTCCTTTGACGGAGGTGTAGACGTTGCTCTCGGTAGAGTTGTCGCTTGTCCACTTGACTCTCGCTCGTAACAGTGCCAAAAGTGCTTCAAAACACTCCGCTTCGTTCCCTGTCGGCTCCATTTTCTTTCCTCTGCTCCTCTTTCCTCCTATTTATTTGCCACCTTCCTATCTTTCTCACAACTAATACAGTTCCTCTTTTTTCTCTAGGTGGAAATTTATCCACGCGCTCACGTTCTCTTCCTTCTTTTATATCTTCAGTCTTTCCCTCGAAATATCTCTCGATATCTCGCTGTGCCTGCCAAGGGATTGCACGAGGCAGAGACGATCGCGTGGGCGATCGCGATGCATTGAAAGGTTCGGGCGAAGGTGATTAATCGCGGCTTGTGACTTGTGCGATTGATCGTGTTCAACTGACAATGACCATTGTGTCATTCAGTTTGGCGGGAAATCGATCGTGCGTGAAAATCGAGTAACATAAACATTGAAACGCCTGCGGCGCGCGAAGCTAGTCGCCGGTCGCGGTTTTACAAGAAGAGGATTCCTCGAGAACGATACGTTCATGTTGCCAGAAAGCAACTTTCCCATCACAGGTAATTGGCGGTGTTCGATATTGAATGATGTCAATCAGAGTAGCAAGTTTCTAATTGAGTCTTTTCGAGTGACTGTCCATCTCTTTTAGATTCTACCAAATCTGCAATTCTATTTTGAAGAGTTTATCGCTGCTACGACGTTCCTCGTCTTCTGTTTGTCAAATAGATCGAAAATCTTGAGTTGCATTATCCGAATATTCGCGGAAAAAAAACAACCAACGGAAAATGAGATCATTCTGATGAAACAATCCTCCCGAACAGCCCCACAATAAGTTACTGTTCTCCACGTGGGACGCCGTCGCTGCGCTGCGCGGTTTGCGCGGGTGTTACGCGTAATTACGGATCCATAACGACGTCGTAATCAGGCCAATGGATCACGGCCTGTTCTAGTGGGTCACAATACGTGAGCGAAACGAATCTTGGTGACTTTAAGGATATTTCGGCTATATCGGTTTCACCGCATGTGAGAAAGGATCTTTTCCAAAGTATACCTTTTTTTTACGGATCGTAGCATCACCTTGACATGTTCGCGAGCACCACTGACTTTTCGTTTTTAACCTAGTTGCGCTTCTGCCAATAGTGCGGAAGACCACATGTTTTCTCGCGAAACAAACGTCTGCTCCGATTCGTCCACTTGTTGCCCGTGAATAAGTCAAGTTTGACGTCCGTCGTGATATTATCGAAGAATTAACAACAAAATAATTATTACGTTCATTTCCGTATCTATCAAGTTAGAAGAAGGAAAATTAAGTGGAACGTGATGTGTATTCTTGGAATACCTTTTATAAACAGCTAGTTATGTATCTATAATGTTCTAGAGCGAGGTCGTCATTTGTTATGATCTTTTAATCCGATTAACATTTTGAATAAAATTAGTCATGTAATGGTATAACGTGTATACTTTAGCAATCATGAATGCCTAGTGCGGCGCGATACCATCCAGCCATAATCCTAAATATGGAGTGAGAAATTTGAGAGAACCGAAAATAGTGGCGCTACGCCAAACGCTAAAAATAGCCAAAAAATAAATTGTAGTTACGCGCCCGCCTGCATCATTCTATAACTGGTCTTCAATGAAAACGAGCCACCTCCCGCACATATCGATATTAATATCTCTCACCGATCTCGCTTTTTGGCGCATATTTATGTGCAACTTTGTACATTTTTTAATCACTAATAGTTCAAGTAGCAGTATTTTAAAACCTGGGAAATTTCGACTCTCACACTTGTATCCTTATACTCTTTTCATTTAGATTCTTGAAATTTTACAAGTTAGAATCTGGAGAAACTTAGATTTGTAAAATCTTGCAATTTAAATCATGCAATTTTAAAATCCTAAATTTTTTGAGTTTGTAGAAAACCTAAAGTGTTGATTCTTTCAAGTTTGGAAACTTATACATAAAAGAAATCTTTTGTCTCCAATTTTGTACTTGTCATGTCTATATTTATATTTTTGCTGGAGTTTCGATCTAAAATGTTATCTTAAAATCTATGCAATTGACTTGGTATATTTTATGTTACACGAAGACCTTAAATGTGCCTCGATTGTGTTTCTGGTTATTTTGGAGATTTCAATGGTTTAGCTTTGTATCGAGATCTTATCTCATTGTTTAAGTACCCAAATGACAGCCGACACATAGGCGAATTCTCGCAAGGCGTTGAAACCCGATCGACTAGGCCAAGTATGGCTCAGGAATTGCGGGTTTTCGGTGGGCTGCGCCGGAGTGTTGCCGGTTCTATTTTCGCACAGGAATATTTTTATCCGACGGTGCTGCGCAAAGTCACAGTATGTATAATACGTTCTTCGTCTTTTGCGCGCCTCCTTCTTTCTCCGTTTCAGCCTCTTTCGTGCGCGTCGTTTTTCGACATCGCCACGCCGGTCGCTGACATTTTTGCTTCATTGATTCTTCATTAAATTTTTCTCTTCCTTTTTCTTTATATGTTGGTACAAAATTATATTATACAATAATATTCATTATTGTATATAAACTCAATTAACACATATAACAATATATTAAACATATGCAAAGTGTTGAAAAAATAATGGTATCTTATTTTATATACTTCATTTTCTTCATAAAAAAATAGTCCCCTTAATTGTATCACTAGTTGTATCTGGAATTCTTCATATAACGAATATATTTTCCAATTTTCTATAATTTTCTATATATAAACTTGAAAATTTTATTATATAATATAATATTTATGTAACAAATATATAGAGTTCTGAAAATAGTGGCTGCGCAAATAACACCGCTGTGACTGTAAAAATGAGCAGTGGATGATACAACCGGCTCTAGAATTGGACGACGAATTACTCGACTTGCGACAGGTGACTGTCGTCGAATATTGCGAATCTCGCGAGACCGTTTCCAAGCGGATCTCCATCGCGTAACGTACGATGCTTGCAGTTCGCCATTGTGCGATTTCGAAGCCTTGAACGGACACGCGATCGCCTACGCGGTTTGCTCGATGGTGCAACGACGGCAATAGGTGCGCTTGATCATTTACCCATTTGCGCGTCAGACATTCGTTTAATTTCTGCCATTTCTCACGCCCGTCAAATCCACGCAACGCAACTCACCGCGCTGCGCGCGGCATTAATCCGCTCGTTAATACAGTGGTTATGAATATTCCGCAATTCGCTCGCGCACACCGGCAACGATCTCCGGCTTCGACGACGGCCCACGCGCGCGACCTTTCGCGTGGCTCTCGCGCAAACCGAAATAAGAAAGTAGAAGCTGTTCGTATGGCGGCTACTTCCGACCTCGTTTTTTTTTCTAATTAATTAATCGAGAGTGGCCGAACGTTATGGCTGTAACTAATGACTAATTCAATGAATGCTCGATCCTTAAAACTCGAGTCAAATTGTAGCAAACACCTTTCGAAACACCCACCTTGGTCGTATCCAGAAGTTCTTTTTCGACTATCGCCGCAATTAAAAAGAGTCGCGTACAGAATCATTAATGCCTTAATAGGTACACGAATTTATTTAATATCGAAACTTTCAGTGGAGATTGAATTAGCGTTTAATCGTGAGCCAACGAGATTATACAGAGTGTCCCAGACCTTCGATAATAATCGTTAGTGGCAGACTTCTGCGATCATTTTAACATGAAACTCCTAAACTGATAAAAATGCCAAAACCGCGTGATAGTTTTCGAACGAAAAATATTTCGAAATGATCAAACTGCCCGAAATTCGATCGGGTGTAACATAATAGGATTTCTGCGTTTAAAACACCTGTTAGGGTAAAGGCAGGTATTATGGCCATAGTTTTGATTTGAGGTCATAATTTTCAAACCGCTGGTTTTTTATTTTGTAACTTTCTGAAATTCTAGTGTATTTAATAAGCTTTGATGACAAAATGTTTTGATCAATTAAAATCTA